TCTGTCGCACGAACACCATAGTTGTAAATGTATGCAGATTCGGGAGAAGCGAGCGTGTTGCCTACACAATCCCTACAGCTGAACCAATTACAGTATGTAAATAACGCTCACTGTTTATGATGTCACTTGTATACCGACTTCACGTTTAACGGCTCCTGATGTCGCTTCTGATATTCTTTATGTGCTATTCGTAAGCTCGGAAAACTCCAATATCGCAAGAACAGTCAATGGAAATTCTCCATGCTATAAATTCACCTTATGGTTTGTTTACGACATTAACAATTTAACTCTATGTCAATAGTTTTACTGTCTCCGATATGCAAACTAGCAGCACTATTTACGTCCGAACTAAATTGAATCCTTTTAATAGATTTCCCTTTTATGACTAACAGAGACGCAGAATGGGCACTGTAATTACAAAACTGCAGTTTTATTTGTATAGGGTTTTATCTGTGTGAAAATTTATCTGCCAGACTAAGGGAAGAATAGGGCCGCGTCATAGCTCAAGCGGTTAGTCGCTAGCTTCCCACTGCGGCGGCCCGGGTTCAATCCCGGTTCTGGTCAAGTGGAATTTGTGGTGGACAAAGTGGCGCTGGGGCAGGTTTTCTCCGAGTACTTCGGTTTCCCCTGCCAATCTTCATTCCACCAATTGCTCCACAATCATCCTCACCTATCATCTGGGGCTGGTACAATAGGCCAGAAGTGGCCGCAGTACAAGGGACTTAGTACCACCCCACTAACAATTAAAAAAAGGAAGAATAGAGTGAGAATACATGGAAAAAGTGTATCAGGAAAATATTTTGATCCACGAGGAAATAAGGAAAAAATAAGGGCCTACAGAAAAAGGCATAAGCATATTGAAAACTTTGTAATCTATGCTATTCACTAAAAATTGTTAGGGAAGTAAAATTAAGGATGACTCCACGGCTGGGAATGCATCATCTACGATAGAAATGCTAAATTTTAGTAGGAAAATTTGAAAGGAAAACATAAGTCTTTCGGCTTAGACTTAGAAGTAAGTTTAATATTAAAATGGATTTTAAAGAAATAACATTTTAAGGTTTAGATTAAAGTAAATTATTTTAGGACAGGGGCCCAGTGGGCTCCTTTAAACAATGCCGAAAATTTGCGGGTTCGATTCCCGATGAAATCACTGCATTTTTTAATTGACCTAATCCATGATGGCCCTGGGGTCAACCCAGCCTCTAACATAAATAAGTTCCTGGGGGCAAAGAATAGCCGGCGCGTAAGGCTGACAACCTCACCGCCATCTGTGAGCCGACTCTCTAGACAATGTGGGAGCCTCGACGTCTCACAACCCTATGTACCTCCGCGGCCTGTTACAGGGATAACTTTACTTTTTCTTAACTCTTAGCTTTCATAGAGGCTACAGAGTTTCCTGGCGAAACGAGTGACTGATTTTTCCGTGAGGCTCGAAACGGCCACAAGGCCAACATTATAAAGTTAACTCACTACTTATTCCAAGCATAAGAGCACAGATTCCCGTACCTGGAAGCTTCAGACGTGTGTTCGGGAAGTGTCCGGTTCGAATCGTGAGCAGTCCACCTGATGCCCTGAATGATATTTTCCGTGAATTACTTCAGTCACTCTAGAATGCAGAAGAATAAAGTGCGACGGGTTGATTCCCCATCCAGGGAGTCTGCCGACTCTGTACGTGATTGAGAAAATGAAAGAAGTGGACAGGACGAAAACTGAGCTTTAGAGCCATTATTATTATTATTACTATTATTATTATTATTATTATTATTATTAGCAGTAGTAGCAGTAGTACTAGTAGTAGACGAAGAATGCGTA